ATTTTAAGTAAATAAATATAATTTATCTGATATCGCTTATACGGTATAATATAATAATCTTAACTGATTATGTTATAATTTCCTAAAGTCTCACAAAAGAATTGTATTGAAATTTAACAACTGAAAATAACTATAATTAATTAATTAAATTATTCTACAACTAGTTTATGATTACATTTTAATGTAGCACAGCTAAAAAATTTGTTAATGAAATTTCACAGCAAATTAACAAAAAAGGATGTTCGACCGTACAAAGTGCGGCTTTGGGTCAGTTGGCTAATGAGCGCTAACTCTGAGCTTCAAATTTGGCAGAGTATGAGTTTAACTGTTACAGTCTCAAAAAATTATTTACGAATAATTAAATTTAAGAAATAATTTCAAGACCACTGATGATGCGTATTTTGTAATACTTGAAACAATTGTATGGTCAGCAAAAAATTTAATTAATTAAGATAATATTAAAAAAATTTTTGTTGTTGTACTGCACTACTTTTCGAAATTTCTCTACAAATTTTTTTATATAAATTTAGTTCAATTTTTAACTTAATTAAAAATTAAATTAAATAATTAATTTAATTATTAAATACAAATTAATTTGCATTTAATATATGCAAATTTTTTATTTTTTTTTTCCTTTCTAAATCTAAGTTTTTAATATGGTATTTGTGCGAACTCAGTTTTAAACCATTTTAAACTGAAGAGCATCAAGTTTAAACGTGGTATTTACAGTGAACTTGGTTTCGACCGATATTGATTTTTATCCGTGATATGACCGTACTTTTGTAGTTCGAGAACATTACTTTTATAGGCGTTTTATCTCAATGTACCATATTTTATCTTAGAGTTTTCTTTATTTATGCTTTGCGACAATTAAGATTTTATAGAAATACCAGATTTTTTCTTGGTAGCTAGTGATATGTATAGAGATTTATGGATTTCCAGGCATTCTTCAGTATTTCTTAAGTTCATTACAAAGCCAACCACCATTACAATTGCTTTCGAGAATGGCTGGAAATATTTTTAATAATTTATTATTATTTATCAAATTATTTTTTAAATTGCAACACATGATAGAAAATTTTGCGTAGCAAAATATCTTTATACTCAAGTATATATAATCAAATACTTATACATATGAAATACAAATATAGAAGTTATGAAGTCTATGATTGTCTTCAAAATGTAAAATAATATTAAAAATTTATGGAATTTAGCTATGAATTAAGTTTAATTGTGTATAATTTATGAACTTAAAATAAAAGAGTTAGAAATTTATTTAACTATGAAATTTTATTTAATTTACTATTATTATTCTTTTTCATTTAACTTACTACTGTTATTCTAACTCATTTAATTTACTATTATTTTAATTTCATATGCTTACTTTAATACTTTTCAAATATTTGCATATATTATTATGTCACTCATACGTCATGTTTGTTTAGTAATTTTAACAGAAATTTCTAACCAAATACAAAATAAAATTCAAATCAATTATATGAATTTCGAAATATCAATTAGTACTTAACAAGAAATTGTTGAAAATTGTAGCAATTTATCTATTATAAAATATATATACACAAGTATCAAGTGAAAGTCCATATAAAAAGGATACAATCCTTTTTGCTATAGTCAACAAATATCGAATTGCCACAAAGTTGATGTTCGCTTTTCAGGCAATAAATTATCCACTTACTTGAAAATTGCAATGACAACAATGCAAAATTAAGTGCAATTCCAATATTATAAACTGATATACCCACACATACATCAAAAATAAAGTAATTGGAAACGACTTTGTAGGCATTATCCTTTCGAATATTAAAATTGTGGTTTGACTATGACTAAATGAATATGCACACGTTAAAGAAGTTCGGAGAATTAAAGAATACGTAAAGATTTTAAAATCCACTTAATGCTGATTTGAAGCAAAGTATTAAATTTAAGAAAAATATATTCGGAAAAATAAAATTAAGACCAAGAGAGACTTTTTTTTATTTAAATTAAAGGCACACATTAAAAAAATTCTGAAAATGAATAAAATAGTAAAAATATTAAAATCCACTTATTGCTGATTTGAAGCAAATCTTTTAAATTTAAGAAAATTATATTCGGAAAAATAAAATTAAGATAATGAAAGATTTTTTTTTATTTAAATTAAACGCACACATTGAAGAAATTCTGAAAATTAATAAAATAGTAAAGATTTTAAAATCCACTTAAAATCCACTTGCTGATTTTAAGCAATGCTTTTAAATTTATGAAAATTATATTCGGAAAAATAAAATGAAGACCATGAAAGACTTTTTTTTTATTTAAATTAAACGCACACATTGAAGAAATTCTAAAACTTAAAGAATTAGTAAAGATAAGCAAAGCTTTTAAATTTAAGAAAATTATATTCGGAAAAATAAAATTAAGCCAATGAGACTTTTTTTTATTTAAATTAAACGCACACATTGAAGAAATTCTTAAAATTAAAAAATTAGTAAAGATAAGCAAAGCTTTTAAATTTAAGAAAATTATATTCGGAAAAATAAAATTAAGCCAATGAGACTTTTTTTATTTAAATTAAACGCACACATTGAAGAAATTCTGAAAATTAATAAAATAGTAACGATTTTAAAATCCACTTAATGCTGATTTGAAGCAAAGCTTTTAAATTTAAGAAAATTATATTCGGAAAAATAAAATTAAGCCAATGAGACTTTTTTTTATTTAAATTAAACGCACACATTGAAGAAATTCTGAAAATTAATATAATAGTAAAGTTTTTAAAATCCACTTAATGCTGATTTTAAGCAAAGCTTTTAAATTTAAGAAAATTATATTCGGAAAAATAAAATAAAGTCCATAAAAGACTATTTTTTTTTTAATTCAACACAATGTATAATATTTTTTTTAAACTAGCAAATAAAAATATTTATGTCAATGAAGCCTCAAATGTGATATATTGGTCACTATATATGGCTCTGAAAAAAAAACAAAATTAAAGAAAAAACATAAAAGATTGATGACACTAGAAAAAACATATTATTGTATATTTGGTTTTATAAAAAAAAAAACAAATAAAAATACACTAAAATATATTTGAAACACCCACTAATATAAAGCAAACAGATATAACCGACGACGTTGGGCAAAAAAAGTTTGTAATAAATAAAAAAAAAGAAAAAAAAACTAAAGTTTGCCATCCTGTTTCTAACCACATTAACCGGAAGTCCTTTACACAAACTTATGCAAACAAGTTACAATGTTGGTCAATGAGCTACAATATCAACAATTTTTCAAGCCCGTCGCAACATCAACAAAAACAAAGTATCTTTTTTTCTACTACTTTTTTTCTTCTTTTTGGTACACATTATTGGTATCGTTCATTTTCCCGTCGCCGCATTGTGTAAAGTGTTGACTTTATATCCTTCATTTAGTGGACATAAAAAGGATATTATTAAAAGCTTAGAAAGTAGCAATTTCTTTCCCAACGACAAAAATGAATGAAGTAGAACACAAAAAAGTTAAACAGGCAAAAATGAATAGGCATAAAAAAAGGACACAGAAAAGGGAAATATTCATAAAAAAAATTACATGAAAAATTTATGCATAGATAAAAAGTTTTATTTTATGTTAGAACAGCACTAACGACTTTATTGCAAATGCTAAACAAGAAAATTAACAGTTTATAGTTTTAAGTAATATAGCATAAATATATATATATATATATTATTCTATAAAAGAATGAGTTTTAAAATTCACTTCATTACATATAATAATTTTTAACTCCACCAATTCTATTAGTTTTAGTTCAT